GTTTGTACACAAGATCGTTATTGAAATACACCTCTGGTGCAACTCAGACAGAACCCAGGACACATCACTGATGATGTGTCTGAGTTGCACCAGAGGTGTATTTCAATAACGATCTTGTGTACAAACGTGACTAAAGTAAACAAACATGGCGGACGACAGGCAAGAAGAAATGGCAATAATAGAGTTTGGACTGATTTGTTTTGAAAATTCGAGAGCTACTAATGTCAGTCAATTCATCCGGCTCCTAGGAAAATGTCCCACCACTGGATCAGATTTTTTTCTAAACCACACTTTCTACATTGATGATCAACTATTCACCTGCTAATTGTATTGTTTTATAGGGGAACCTTTACCATTTATATCGCTGCTGCTTGCTTGCAAGGTTTTGACAATGGCTTTGCATGCTGGTAAGATCACAGTCCTCAGCAAGCGATTGTGTGGAGTTTTTTTGACTTGGCTACTATTTCAACCACAAGATAGATAGCTTTCAGTGCTTTTTCTGACTCTTTTGCACTTCATGACCCTGGTTGGGAAACACTGACATAGACTTTGAGTGAAGTCACACAGCTGCAGTCTAATCATTCTTGTAAAAATGTTAATATGGCTGACGTGGGACAATTTACCCGGTCATCATTTTGTGCTGCACACCAGTTCATAAACTCTCTCCATTTATGAGCATATAAACACCTAGAAAAAGAAGTCCATTCCTATGCACAGTATTCAATGTGATGAGTTTTTTTTTATATTGGCAGGCTCTGCTGACCGACCATACATGAAATTTCCATAGCTCTGGGCTGGACTGCCATATTAAGCCTGCGCTTGGGAACATTCACGGCTCAGATAGAGAGAAGACATTGATTGGCTTTTGCAGCCGTCATAATCCTGCCGATTAATAAATGCCACTCCACTAGCTGTCCACCCTGTCCATTTTCTAAGAACATGGCAGTGATGCACTTGGGGAGGAAGTATTCTAATGCCAAATTAACTACTTTCAGTTCTCGCAGTTTATGTGTCACACTTTTTTCTGTATCCATCCAGGCACAAAAAGCCGATCTGTCCAGCCTGTGTTCAACGCCTCCATTGCAACAGCATCCTCCTGTCAACTTGCCCCATCATTACGCCTGAATTGTACAGCGTCTAACCATACCAGGGGGCTAGAGCACAAACATTAACGTGTATCTAATGATGCACAGATATCATTGATAAACCCTTTTCATTTTATGGAGTCAGATGAAACAAGTTAATACATAAGATTAAATGTGTTGCATTTAATTAAAAATCATTTTGCCTTGGGAAAGACGGAACACGCTTGAAACCTTCACCACGAATCGAACTCCGCCGTTGGATCGATTTCGTGCCGACTTTACACAGTATAAAATCAAACTTGTAGTAAGAGTGTTGAAGGGCTTAGTAATGATGAATAACTATTGTACCCTTTTGACTTTGTTCCTCTTGACATTGTGTCAGTATCTAATGCATTAGGGAAACTTCTTTGTCCGAGAAATATTGTGTAGCTGTGAATTATTCCAATGATGTGAGTGCAGTAAGGACTCTAAGGATTCAATCCCAATCCGTGTTCGCAACAGTAACTAAGGGGGGCGAGGCTTACGATAGGTCAATTTGAGGCAGGCCTTCATGTTATAGGGCCAATTCACACTGTACCAACAGAAGGCAATGGACACTTTGTCAGGTTTTGTCGGATCAGTGCATAACCCCTGCCAGTGTCTGTTGGTGTTTGTTGGAGCTTGTTCTCACTGATTGAATATGCTGAATTGGATTTAGAATGTCTGATAAGTGATGTGATGTAATCTGGTGACTGTCGGCATTGTTCTGTGTCTGTCGGTGCAGTATGAATTGGCCTTTATAAGGAGACACAGAATAGTCATTGCCTCAGAATCTTTCTCCTTCAGAAAGCTGAACTGTCTTCAAGAAGCCTTCTACAGCTTGCTGTTGATATATGCTTGCCAGTGGATAGTGGCCGAATTGTTGCTCCCCTGGAGATATCCAATGAGTTTGACAATTTTTCTTTCAATGATTTTATCTGAGAAGCAGTGCTGTAATGTAATCTGCATGTCGGTTTCAGACTGTCTCTCACGTTCTCATGTTGGGCAACAGAGCCGATTGTCTTTTGTCATTTTGCAAATGAAGAATTGCAATTGATATTGATAATCTATGTTTAGTTCAACTGAGTCTTTTTCTTCTTTCTTTAATTGCTAAAAAGCTTAATCTTAATCTTTAAAGGCTAATGGCCTTGTATACAATGGCAAGTTACTCAATAGAAATTGCTTTGATGTCAGAGTGTATCACTCACTGACACAGAAAAATAAGCTTCAAGCAGCAAACTGCTCTATTCTCAGAACAAAGTACTTCAACCTCTGTCCAAGCACGGATATACATGGCAGGCTCCGCCAGGCATCTTAGACGTAAAATGATATGCTTGTAGCTCAAACAGTAGAGTGTTGACACGTGCAACGCCAAAGTCATGGGTTCCATTCCCAAGGAAAGCAAGAACTGATAAGATTAAGAATATAAAAATGTGTACCTTGAAATGCAATTTAAGTCGCTTTAGATAAATGTAAATTTAAAACAGGCAGTATTTGCAGTTTATTCACAGACTGTCCCGTTTCAATGCAGTCATTATGTCTGTTGTATTAGCTCAGAACATGAGCAGAGATTCACACACTTCTCACAAATGGATAATAGAGGTAGTGCCTTTAAGATCTGCGCTGCTAAATTGCACGTTCAGCTAGGTCCGGTACCTAGTAATAGGTATGACAAGGGACCTGATTTCAACTCTGCCATCCCATTATATGACATTACCTGGATGATTGGCTGGTCATAAACCCATTCCAAGAGTGTGTTACACAGCCACAAATTCAAACTACTCAAGCACCTCAGGTGTTTAGGGCTTGTAATCAATACACAAAAAATAGCTTTGCAAGCTGCATACCATCACAGACCAGGGTGAGCTATAATAATGATAAACCCTGGTTCACAGCTAAACTCAGACGGCTGCGGTTGGACAAGGAGGAGGCATTCAGGAGCGGAGGCAAAATACAGCTTTGGTAAGGCAGTGAAGGAAGCTAAGGACTGGGTGGAGAGAAATTAAAACAACAGTTCTCGGCCAACGACTCTGCTCCGGTTTGGAAGGGCCATCAACAGATCACCTGCTATAAACCTAAAGCACCCCAATCCACTAACGACCTGCGACTTGCTAATGACCTTAATGCTAAAGACACAAGGGTAGTCCTGACAACATACCTTTTTCGGGGTGTGTTCAGCCCCCCATCATTGGGCCCCATTTACAATCACACATCTCAATTAACACCACCCCTGCCAACACAATGCCACTTTGAATCCTAGAAAGGGATGTCAATAGTCTATTCAAGGGACCATCATCCCAGTCCCCAAAAAGTCTAAGATAACTGGGCTAAATTATTATAGACCCGTCACCCTGACTTCGGTGGTTATGAAATCATTTGAGCACCTTGTGCTGTCCCACCTCAAGTCCATCGCTGACCCACTACTAGACTCACTGCAGTTTGCCTACAGAGCCAACAGGTCTGTAGATGACATGGTCAACATGGCTCTCCACTTCATCCTCCAACATCTTGACTCCCCTGGAACCTATGCCAGAATATTGTCAAGCTTTCCCAACTGGGAGTGCCCGAGTCCACATGCAGGTGGATCACAGACTTCTTGTCCAACAGGAGGCAGCATCTCTGATGGAGACGAGTCCGCCTCCATGGAGGAGATTGATCATCTGGTGTCCTGGTTCAGTCTGAACAACTATAGCAGACTTTAGGAGAAGGCCAGCATCTCTTTGTCCCATCCTCCTGGGGGGCTCCCCAGTCAACTCTTTGGAGTCCTTTCGCTTCCTGGGCATCACCATCTCCCAGGACCTCAATTGGTAGCTGAACATCACCACTTTCACTTCTTGTGGCAGCTTAAAAACCTGCCAAAGACTATGCTGGTGCTTTTCTACACTGCCATCAAGTCCATCCTGACTTCGCCACATCACCGTCTGGTGATGCTCTGCATCATCCGCTCTGCAGAGTGGGTCATTGGCTGCAATCTGTCATCTGTGCTCTACACAACTCCAGGTTGATCCAGGCTGATCCCTCTGACCCTGGAAATGGAATATTCAGAACTCTCCCCTCTAGCAGAAGGTTGAGGTCTATCAGGACCAAAAACTCAAGACAAAAGAACAGCTTCTTTCCAACAGCTGTAGGCCTCAGGACCATGACATGACCCTGGAACCAAACAGACTATAGCCTGCTCCCTGCACTCACTCACTAGATAACAGCACTTTACATATATTTATTTGTTACATTTCTTTAGTAATTTGTATTAGGTATTGTTCATATTGTTTATGACTTGCGTACAAATCGTTGCACTAATGGGCCAGAACAAATTCCTTGTTTGTTGTAAACTTTCTGCTCTCTGAAGAGTGTATTGCATCCCACTAAGAGCATCTCATTCCTGGGAAAAGAACTAAACTCAGCCCATGTTCCACGGTATGTGTGACAGATTGGTAAGGCATGTCAAAGTGACCCACAGCTGTGTCCTGAATTAATGATGCATGTTTAAATAAATGTAATAAATATGAAATAATGCATGTGATGAGTGGTGATGGCACAGTGGATAAGACACAAGACTGTGGTGTGAGAGACCCGGGTTCGAATCCACTGTGAGACGACAATGAGTCCCTGAGCAAGACACTTAACCCCTAGTTGCTCCAGAGGCATGTGACCTCTGACATATATAGCAATTGTAAGTCGCTTTGGATAAAAGCGTCAGCTAAAATGAATTAAAAAAAAATGAATAAATTAGTGTTTCTTCACCTGAATATGCCATATAAATATCCCCTTATTTAAATTAAAAGTGATAGTGAAATTCACTGAAACTGTTTATTCAGATAATTACAACTAGTAACTGCCAAGTCTAGAAACAACTGCTAAAGTAGTAACTGATGATAAATAATAATAAATCAGACCAAAAATGCTGCAAAAGCAAACTTTATGAGCTCAAGTGAACCATTACATTTCACACTATTACATCACTAGAAATGTTAATATCACTTCTAAATCGCGGTTACAGTGATCCTTACTGATGGAAAGGGAAAGGACATAGGTCTTACAAAAATATACTGTGGATAGCATATAAATATACAATGAATGTGCAATACAGGACATATTTAAAAGCACTGGTGCCTCTAGTGAAGTAAAGACTGCATTCAGCTTCTAATTGGCCTGTAGTGTTAATATGTAGATACATTTTACTGGTCTCTGAGTTTACAAAATATCTTAAAAGATTCCAAGTAATTTGAGGAGTAAGTGTCAAAACAAAGTATGTGGACTAGTACTCGGTCCCACTTTATATTAAGTGGCTTTAAGTACTATGTACTTACATTGATATTAATAATTGGATACAATGTACTTATTGTGTACATATGTTTTTACATTGTACTTATATTTTGAAAATACCTGCATGTAATAAGAGCTGTAATTAATGTATGTAATTACATTTGTAATTACACAGTTGACCCTTCCATTACCCCTTAACCAACCCTTAAACCTACCCATGCCACCACACCTGTCCCTAACCTTGCCCGTATCACTCCTCAATAGCAGGAAAAGTGTTTTACAATTCAACCTGAACACAATAAGTACATTGTAATTATTTGTCGATGTAAGTACATAGTACTTGGAGGCACTTAATATAAAGTGGGACCAAAATGGTCAACAATTCTTAATTATAAACACAATTTCATCAAAAGTGTTACCAATATTTCCTACAAGATGTTACAATCTACAAACTTTTGTATAGGTTATGTCCTTGTGGTAGCAGAAAAATGTTCTAGTAGACTAATTTATTCATAAAAAAAAAGAAAAAAAAAGAAAAGAATTCACATCTATATACTTATTTGAAAATAAAGTATGTTGGATCTAAAAACAAGAATTTGACAGCAGAGTCAAGCTGTATTCATTTTGGAAAGATGAGAACAAAGCCTTGGACATTACGTTTCCTCTTTAGCAACGTGAACCCACAATCTTCTGTGCAAAAACATCAAAGTACTTGCAAAAAGCACCTCTCGGGTAGCTAGCCGTAGACAATGAAGAATACAGAGAGAACTGGTGAAAAATAACTAAGCAATTTTTGTGTCACGTCTGAATGCAATTTCTAAACTATTGCAAAGCATTAAATTGTACAACAAGCTGTAGCTGATAAGTAGTAGACCATCTCACCAATGAGGAATTACATAAGGCATAGAGCTGTGTAAGAATCTCAGCTCATTTTTGTTGATCATACTTTGGTCCTTTGCCTTTTTGAAATGTATACCTTTTTTAGACAAAAATGGCCACTTCCTTTAATATGCATTAAAAGTCCTTCTGTTGACCTCCTCATATGTGTCCTGTGGGTTAAATGTTCACTCATCTGATTCATACCTGTGAAGGGAATATAATGCAACAAATTAAAAAAATATTGGATTTAAAACAAATGAGTTTTATGACATATCAGTGGTGGTCATAACATCCGAAGTGAAATTATACCTTTGTAGTCTCTTTCTCAGATCTTTAATATGTTCATTCTTTTTAGTGAGAATCTCCTTCATGTTGCGGTATGCAGCCGTCTGCTGGAATTTCTTTTCCAGGTCCTTAATTTTTAAATAAATACAAAATTAATTATCAAACGCATAAAGCTTCACTGATTTGCGAACCTATGAACCACCGATTTACCATACCTTCAAAGTTCTTGAATATTCAAGTTCTAGGTTCTAGTAGATTTATTTATTCATAAAAAATAGAAAACAATGGAAGAAAAAAAAACGAACAGCTTTATACTTATTTGAAAATAAAGTATGTGTTTATTGTAAGTTATATAAAAAATAGAAATATTAAACAATAATGTGTAAATATGTATAATAATTATAATAATATATAATTACATTTATATATGGGTTCCTGCACACTTTTTAAAGTAAAATTTAAGGCTTTTTAAGACCTGAAGAAATCAAAATTAATACCATACATTGGGGTGTGCGATATTGACAAAAATATATCTCGATATTTTCAACGTTTTGTTGATAAACACAAAACAAAAACACAATCAGTAAAATATCAACTAATTATTATCAACAATAATTAGTTGATATTTTACTGATTGTGTTTTGTGCTGGTGCCATGGCTGGTTTAGGCCTGTTGTTGACAGCAGACTCGCGGAGATATTTATATTTTTCATATTCTATGCAGTGGGCAGTTCACAGCAGTGACAGAAATTATTAATTAATGTGCAATATTTGCCACCTTAAATTGATTTCCAGGGAGTTTTCACCTATTTATGGAGATTTTTTTTAGAGTTTAGAGTCTTATTTAGAGTTATGCATCACGTGCATCACATATATACAGTAATTATACTTATTTATACAATAATATTTAATTACACAATAATTACAGTACCACTGTTAGCAGTCAAATTAAATCATTCAATCAAAAATCCATCTTTGCAGTGCAGAGGTGACGCAGAAGCAGCATTAGAAGTGGCATTAATATATACACTCCATTTACAATTGCATAAATCAAGCTATAAGTTTTTTTTTTAAATCAATATTCAATATTTAAATGTGAAATGATTTCTAATTTTAACGTCTTACTTTTAATATGAAACTAAAACCGCCAGTAGGCGGCGGTAAATCGCTGTCTTAATAAGCGAGTTGAGGGAGTCATTCATTCAACCGATTTGTTCAAACGGGAAAGAAGCAAGTGATTGAATCGTTAAAATGACTCGTTCAAAACGCGGATTTCCTTCAAGAAATCATCGCTGTCTGTTGCATTGAGACTGCTATGGTTTCATTTGACTCGTTCAAAACGAGATAGCTTATATAACTTGATTATATATTAAAATGTATTATTGTCAGAATAAATAAATTCATTGGGTGAAACTTAAAGATTATGGTTCAGACTGAAGCTGATTTTTTTTACTGTCATCTGTTTTTAAGGTGAGTAGCCAAAACAAGCCTGAATCAAATTTCCAATTGTGATCAGGGCCCATATTTATCAAACTTTTCAAGTTATCAAGTACCATTTTAGTCTTAACTGCTGAGAATTTATGAAATTTACTCCTACTTTTATACTTAAGTATAAAAGCAAGTTATCAAATTTCTTAAAGCAAAGAATAACTCTTACTCTCGCAGTAATTTAAGACAGCTCGCAAGGTCTCTAAAGTGGTTAGGATTTGCCAGTAGGGGCTTGTGATGGCACTGAGGAGACAGAGATGTGTGCAAATCTTTCAAGAGAGGAAGAATGTTTTGAGTGTTTGACGACGAGCTGTTAATCAAATGAAATTGTTTATATACCATGTAATTTATAAGCGAAAATAAATGGCATGATTAACTCGATGCGTGCTATAGACGCATTTCATGTGATCAGGTTGGTATATCATTATGCATTCTCTTGAAAATTATTTATTGTCAAATGTGTGTAAACTCCTCTAAAGAATTTCACCATTCAATATGAGAATATTCTTAAATAAGGAAATCTATTCAGTGATAGGTCCATGCCAATGTCGTCATCCAAAATCCTGTTTGTGGCACAGCCAAGATCATGAATCATCTCTAAGACTGACACTTAAGATTTAGTCCCACACTACACATAAATTACGACAAGTCAATTTTTAGCAGTGTTCTTGGGAATAATTCTCAGAGGCTTGATAAATACGGGCCCTGATTTCATTTAATATGTGGAAATATACTGAATATGGTAACTGATTTTTGCATTGTGATTTCAGGCTGAACAGTCAGGTCAGAATTCAGATTAGTGTCTGATAAGCGGTTCAGCGCTGAATCAAAATTTGCAGCGTGCAGGTGGCCTTAATACCTTCTCAGCAAGGGAGAGTTGCTCCTGGACACGGAGTAGGTCATGTTTAGCAGATACCAGGCTGTCTTGCAGGTCTTTTTGAGAAGCAACATTGGCATTCAGGGTCTTTTCAAAGTCAGCCTGCATTGCTGCAACTGTGCCTTCCAGATTTGCGATCTCCTGAGCACACATTGCAAACTACCAACGAAAAAAAGGTCTGTAAATATTTTGTCAATTTTACTGCTGTTTCTAAACTTTACAACAACAACAAAAAAAACTTATATAGACACACATATAGTACTATGCATGTGACAAATACAAATAAATAAATAAAACAGCACATACCAAAGAGTTCCCATGAAGCCAAACAGAAAGTCATAACGGAAATGGTAAGAAATGTAAATGTAAATCTTATAAACAAAATATGAGAAATCATATTGCCAATGAAGAGAAATCTGTGTGTTCACAGGGGCATTGACAAAGGCTCAAACACAATCCAAATGTCTACTATGGAATCAAATCCATGCCGCATATATTTGCAAAACAATAAAGTATAGGTCTACTGATAATAAAGCTGAAGGCTAAAATTGCCAACTTGGCTAAATGTGTGGTATATTTTATACCTGATGATCTCCTTGGCTTTTTTGAAGGGCTTTCAAGGCTCTCTCTGCTTTGGACTTGTCATCTAGAGCACTCATGGCCTAAAAAACAATCATTAAAGATATAAAAGATAATAATGTACTATAAAGTGGTGCCCAAACACTATTTGGACATTTAAGCCACAATTAAAAATGTCTGAATGGCATGGCATTAGATACAACATATCAGACCATGTGGATTTTAAAGAAACAGCACATACAATTTTAGGGCAAAACATTTCATAAAAATGTGTCTGCTGGGTTTTATATGAGAAAATAATGTTGTTTAGGGTGAAAATACTTTCTGGGGCCATAGTATGTATAATGTTTACCAATATACTAAGACATAAATGTATTTACCTGAGATTCCAAAGTTCTGAGTCTAGCTTTCAATTTGTCATTGTCCTCTTGTAGTCTGGAAATCTCCTAAAATTAACAAATTAAAGACTTTCTCTGTTAGTGTTCATTTATTTACAGTACATGTGTACTTGTTCTAATTTAATAAGAAATTACCTTCTGGAGTAGTTCAGAAACACCTCCTTCATTCAACGGTGCTAATTTTGGCTTACTGGACTCCTGATTTACCTAAAAGCACACAAAAGATGATGAAGGTAGTATCTCACCATGGAGAAGCATTCTTAAAATGTAGTCCTTGCTTATTTAGGACACGTGAAATCTAATTTTTGATCAGACTTAGGATTGTGGTTCATTAGCTTTGAAGCCTTAAATATGCTCATCTAATTTACTTCTAAATTTGCTAAATAAACAATGCATTTCATGGAATTTTTCATTTGAACTCATGACCATGACAGAAACGTCTCGGTTACATATAGTAACCCTTGTTCCCTGAGGGAGGGAACGGAGACGTAGGTCAGACTGACCTATAGGAATCTCGCTAGAGAGCCAATTTGCTTCGAGTGAATCTAAATACACATTGGCGTGCAATCATTTGCAACAGCTGCGCGTCCTCGTCAGCGCGGGTATATAACAAGCGGCTGTGTGATTGCACTTCAGTTTTTTGCTGAGGAGCCAAACTTGGGAAGCTGGCCCCCCGGCAGGCAGCAGCAGATGTGGCGACAGGACCTACATCCCAGGAGGATGCAACGCCTCTCGTGAAGTGTGCATGCAACCTGAGCGGGCAGGGCACACCTTGAGCTTGGTAAGCCAAGGCGATGGCATCCACTATCCAGTGGGCCATCCTCTGCTTGGAGACAGCCTTTCCCTTCTGCTGGCCTCTGTAACAGACAAAGAGCTGGTCTGAGGTCCTGATGCTTTGAGTTTTGTCCACGTACACACGCAGAGTGCGAACGGGACAGAGCAAAGCCAGGGCTGGGTCTGCCTCCTCCAAGGGCAGCGCTTGCAGGTTCACTACCTGGTCTCTAAAGGGAGTGGTAGGAACCTTGGACACATAGCCAGGCCGGGGTCTTAATACCACGTGGCTGTCACCCGGCCCGAACTCTAGACACTAGGGGTGTAACGGTACATGTATTCGTATTGAACCGTTTCGGTTCGAGGCTTCCGGTTCGGTACGCATACAAACCGAATGATTGCTTGGACCATTTTTCCTGCCGGCAAAATTCGTGCTGACGCGGCCAACACAATGTTGCGCAACATCAAATCGCAAGCGTAATGAAAACAGAACGAAACTACTCATTATGTGCTTCATGGATCGTTTATCATTTCGGACCAGCAACATCTGTGAAGCGCGAGCCGATCTCGATCAAGCAACACTGTTACTACACAGCGCTGGGAGATCCGGTAAAGAAAAGATTTGAATTCTCCACTGAGGTAATAACATCGCTGCGAGATCTAGTGAGAAGCATTCACATTTCTCCGTTATTAACCATAGATCTCTATTAGATCAAACAGCGCTGTCGTGGAAACCAGGAGAAACATTGTGCCGTGAATGAACTAGTAATACTTTTGTCCACAGACCAGCAACATTCACCATGGATTTAATATAGTAACACTAACTGGAACCAGTTTGGCTGGAATGGTGAAATGCTTTCAAGTACTTCACACATCTTTTTCCAGCACTTCAAAATTTAAATATTATATAAATAAATATTTAAATGTTATTTTTAATATAATGACCAAAACATTATTTGTTCATCCTTCAAAGATGACCCCCATTTATAAACCTGAAAGTTTCAAGATCTAGGAAAACTCACACTTATTTAAAAATATTTTTTCTTTAAAGAAATGGGAAATTTCTCTGGCATTTCTTTCTTTTTGCTGTATCGAAAACGTACCGAACCGTGACTTTAAAACCGAGGTACGTACCGAACCGTGATTTTTGTGTACCGTTACACCCCTACTAGACACGATTCTTCGAATCGAAAATGCGTGCAGGTCTCCTACCCTCTTGACAGAGGCCAATGCAACCAGTAGCAAAGTCTTCATGGAAAGAAGCTTTAAGTCCACTGATTGCAAAGGCTCAAAGGGAATGTCCTGAAATGCTCGGAGCACCAGGGAAAGATCCCAAGAGGGTATGGAGGGGGGTAGAGTAGGATTTAATCGTCTCACCCCCCTAAGAAACCTGACAACCAGGTCGTACTTTCCAACTGTTTTGCCATCGATGTGGTCGTGATAAGCTGAAATAGCAGCAGCATGGACTTTGAGGGTGGAGGGAGACAGTCTTCGCTCCAACCCTTGCTGCAAAACGGACCTTATTGAACATCTTCGGGGGTCTTCTCGGCGAGAAGAGCACTAGGGATGCACGATATTGACAAAAATGTGATATTGCGATATCGATAATGAATATTGCGATATCGATATTAATTTCAATATTTTTAAATGGATGTAAAACTACAAAAGTTATAGGAAAATGCATCAAAAAGATTAATAAATAAAACAAGTTCTTACAACATAAGGTTTATTTTAACTGACAGTCATATTGGACTGGTACAGCATGAATAAATAAATAATAACCATGTCTACAGACCAGGACATGTTTTACTAGTTGTACCAGGTGTAAATGCCATGTGAAACGCGTGACGTATTTGAATCTAATCGCTCAAACCACTTCAGGAGGAGGTCTGGGCCAGTCGAAACTGGATAAATGTAAATACATCTTGTTATTGAATAAACCACATATGTAAAATGTACTCCTTCCAAAAACGCTAAAAAGGAGAACGTTACAGGCTTTTCATGTTATGGCCAGATATGACGACGCGTGCGACTGCAACACGCATCACCGCAGATGAGCAGCTTTTCATCAAGCCAACGCGCAAACTATCGCAAATCAAAGTGAAAGTAAGTCGCAGACGCTTCTCACACAGTTATCTTCATTAAAAGTAAATAAACGAACTGATCTTATTTTACCTGATGATCATAAAATGCAGCTCATAACTGTTGCTTTCGGTGACGTGCACTCCATTAAATCTGCATATAGCGTGTGAATTGAAGATCGTATTTTGATAAATCAGATAGCTATCCGATCAGTGAAAACGCATTAGGGTGGCCTGATGTTTATATTTGTGCGCCGGTGTGCGCGTCGAGCCGGCCGGCAAGTGTGTGTGTGTGTGTGTGGGGGGGGACTGTGTGGTAGTAGAGCAAGTGAGAGAGTGACGCGATTAGCTTTGAAGCGAATAGCGACTCTATATTGAGAAAAACAAAGTGTCTCCCCTGTTCTTTCTGACCACTGTGGGAAGTTAAACCTCTCCTTGATTTCATGTTGTTTATGGAGGAGAATCAGGAAATGAATCGGAGGAAATGCAACGGTGCCGGACGCATCATAAACAAAGAGCACCACTCGACGAACAGGTTCCACTTCTGGACGGCGCCCGTGCTGAAGTGATGGTGATAAGTACCTCTGGGGGTAATTCACCTAGAACCTCCGCGTCCCATCCAGGGACCATACATGGAGTTTCCAGAGGTCTGGGCGCGGGTGCCATAGGGTGCCCCGTCTCTGAGTCAGAAGATCCTTCCTCAGAGGAATGGGCCGGGGGGGGACTGTCACAAGGAGCATAAGTTCTGGGAACCAGGTCCGAGTGGGCCAGTAGGGAGCCACCAGAAGGACCTGCTTCTTGTCCTCCCTGACTTTGCACAGTGTCAGCCTCGAGGGTTCGGGACCCGGTGGAGGGTTCCACACGAGCTCGACCCTCTCGGCGGCCCGGGAAAGCATGGCCATCATCTCCGGGTCCGTATCGGGCACCGCTGGCACCCCTGAAGGAGGTAGCGGCTCCGACACGTCGTCTGCAGAGACATCTGACCCACAATCTGATGTGGGTCAGATGTCTCCGCGATCAACATCTGTTCATCGCCGGGAATGCCAAAGGAAACAGTTGGTACACACCTCGTGGATGGTCCACCGCGCTCCTTTGGCAGCTCACATGGTTGCGGAGACTGAGAGGAGTGAGGGTTCCTAGGGGGTTGGTTCCCCGAAGGAAGCGCGCTCACTGTAATCCTCAGGTCACACTCACAGTCACAATCAGAAGCAACGCTCACATGAGGATTGGAACGGGGTGCCGGCACGGGGACTCCGCCCCTTTGCAGGAACGAGAGTCTGGACCTCAGCTCCGAGATGGTCATCTTCCCACAATCGGTACATGACTCATCCACAAACGCTGCCTGTGCGTGTTGTAAGCCCAGACACACAAGACAGTGTTTGTGACCATCCTGCGATCCCAAGTAACGACCGCATCCGGAAACACACAGATAGAAAGTCATCTTTAAAAAGACGCAAACTCTGTGTAAGCGCTTTTAGGAACTGCTCTCGAAATTGGCTCTCTAGCGAGATTCCTATAGGTCAGTCTGACCTACGTTGTAGTGACTGACCGATAGGGAACTAAAGTTATGTGGCTACAAGATATTAAGGGAAGTTATGTTTTGACTGTTTATTTTTGCTGTTATCATCAGACTAGCATGAAAATCTGTTCTTAAGAACATCACAAGCCATGACAATCTAGAACGACAAAAGGCGTGAGTCACACTTTAACCTGTAAAATGTGTGAAATTTGTGCAGACTGCTACAAATAAAACAACTTAATAACTGACTACACTTATCAGAGACAGGTGTCTCCTGTGCAGACCTGTAATGAGCTCACCTTGCTGTTGGGTTTGAAATCAGTCTTCTCAAACTCAGCTACTTGTTCCAGTAACTCTCTAATAAGATAAGAAATTAAAAAAGGGAGGGAATGAGAGACATCTAAGGATTCATTATGAATGTTGCACAATATATGAGCGTTATCTTAGTTATAATTAATTTTAAAGCAGTCAAATCATAAGAAATCACACTTTTCTTTGATACTTTGAACAGAGTATCCAAGCTCCTTTTACATACAATGCAAGTGAATGGGGACTGGGGCTGTCAAGCTCCAAAAAGACAAAAACAATCATAAAACCATTTGACCGTCCATTCACTCCAGTGTTTCTCTTCAGAATACTTTTGAACATTGTGTAGATATGTAAAATAAACATCAGTATTAGGAAAGAATGGCTGAAATACATTTTTCTTGATCACTTTAGTCAAATGGTCCATTTAATTCTAAGATTCAAAGGAGGAAGAAAATGGTCATTAAAAACAATATTATGACTGCTTTAGCACAAAATACATAATGGACCTTTTAATGGACATTAAGAAAAAAACATTTATATTTTATAAACTTTTTTAAACGTATAAAACATTAATAAATTTAAGTTGATGTTGCGTGTTGATGTAAGCCACAGAAAAGACACATCAATAACACAAATCAGATGCACCTGCTCGAATTCTCTGTTGTGGGTGGAGTCAAAGAGGGGAAAGAGAATAAGAGCCTCTAAAAAAAACACACATAAGTACATGTCAGTTACATGATTCTAAATGGAAAATAAAGCCCCTCCTTCTCCTTCTGAAAACAGTTTGTGGTAGGCAAAACATTTGGCTGTGCGTGCGGTCTGTGAAGATTGCGGTGTACACATGCAATGGGTGTTTTCCCTGTGTGAGGCCCATCCCTGATGTACCAAGGAGGGAGGATCATACACAAACACATACAGTTGTTTATGCAAGTAATGGAGACGAAACACACTTAGCCACAAACACCATCATACTGCACAAGCAACATGTTACAGTAAACAAAAGTAAAAAAAAAAAAAAAAAAAAGTAAGTGTTTACGTGTGTGAATGCTGCTTAGCTCTCTCAGATCTGTGTTTGTAATTTGTACTGTTGACCAAATTTAGTACAGTGCATAATTTTAAAAGGACAACAATTCATTTTCTCATTATCTACAAAAATAATAATAAAAGCAGCCTATCACACTATCTTCCAAGTCTTCTAAAGTATATCTTTGTGTGAGGATATACACAAGAACGACAAAAAGAAGGAGAAAAAAAAACAAATGGGTTTAAACAAATATTAGGTAAACCACCTAAGGATGACTTCATTTTGGTGTTCTAAACATAATTTCCTCAAAGCACCCCCCCACACACACAGATTTTTTTTAGTATGACAAAGCCAGTTCTTTTCACATTTTTAATACGTAAACTGTGAGTACAAAAATAATAGTGGTTAATCAATATATGAATAATTCCCTAAAATTGTATGTTCTATATCAGAATCAATAATGATTGGGGGAAGAAATATAATTTGTTTACTCATATTTTTTGCATTTTAATTTAGATTAGAGTTTAGATTAGATCTTTTTATTACTTATTAATAATGTTTGCTAAGGCACCCAAGAGGGATCAAGCCCAAGAGGGATCAAGCCCAATGGTTGAAACCGTGGTCTTTAAGCATTTACAAGAACAGAATGATGTTAACAGGCAACATTGAACTGTTCTTTACTATTTAAACCATCCTTAAACATATTAAGTGGGAACCTATATTCATATACCTATACTAATATATTACATTACAATATATTACAATATATTATATTACATATAACATATTAATACAATATATTAGCACTAGGATAAAAGGGTGGCTTACAGTGAGGGAAAATAAGTATTTGAACACACGGATATTTTGCAAGTTCTCCCAATTATAATTCATTGAGGGGTCTGAAATTGTCATTGTAGGTGCATGTCCACTGTGAGAGTCATAATCTAAAAAATAAAATCCAGAAATCACAATGTATGATTTTTTAACATACATTGTGATTTCTGGATACAGCTGCAAATTAGTATTTGAACACCTGAGAAAATCAATGTATGGTACAGTAGCCTTTGTTTGCAATTACAGAGGTCAAACACTTCCTGTAGTTTTTCATCAGGTTTGCACACACTGCAGGAGGGATTTTGGCCCACTCCTCCAACACAGATCTTCTCTAAATGAGTCAGGTTTCTGGGCTGTCGCTGAGAAACCCAGAGTTTGAGCTCCCTCCAAAGATTCTCTATTGGGTTTAGGTCTGGAGACTGGCTAGGCCACACTAGAGCCTTGATATGCTTCTTACAGAACCACGTTATCCTGGCTGTGGGCTTCGAGTCATTGTCATGTTGGAAGACCCAGCCTTGACCCATCTTCAATGCGCTAACTGAGGGAAGGAGGTTGTTCCCCAAAACCGCAATACATGGCCTCGCTCCTCCTCTCCTTAATACAGTGCAGTCGCCCTGTTCCATGTGCAGAAAAACACCCCCAAAGCATGATGCTACCACCCCCATGCTTCACAGTAGGGATGGTGTTCTTGGGGTGGTACTCATCATTCTTCTTCCTCCAAACACGGTTAGTGGAATTATGACCAAAAAGTTTTATTTTGGTCTCATCTGACCACATGACTTTCTCCCATGACTCCTCTGGATCATCCAAATGGTAATTGGCAAACTTAAGACAGGCCTTGACATGTGCTGGTTTAAACAGGGGAACCTTCCGTGCCATGCATGATTTCAAACCATGAAGTCTTAGTGTATTACCAACAGTAACTTGGAAACTGCAGTCCCAGCTCTTTTCAGGTCATTGACCAGCTCCTTCTGTGTAGTTCTGGGCTGATTTCTTACCTTTCTTAGGATCACTGAGACCCCACGAGGTGAGATCTTGCATGAAGCCCCAGTCCGAGGGAGATTGACTGTCATGTTTAGCTTCTTCCATTTTCTAATGATTGCTCCAACAGTGGACTTTTTTCACCAAGCTGCTTGGCAATTTCCCCGTAGCCCTTTCCAGCCTTGCGGAGGTGTACAATTTTGTCTCTAGTGTCTTTGGACAGCTCTTTGGTCTTGACCATGTTAGTAGTTGGATTATTACTGATTGTATGGAGTGGACAGGTGTCTTTATGCAGCTAACGACCTCAAACAGGTGCATCTAATTTAGGATAATAAAGGCATTTTAAAGGCAGACTAAAGGCGGGCATACACTGTGCGATTTACGTCCGATTTTGAGCCGAATTCTGACTCATGCGACTCTTTTTCATGTCGGACCGATTTTCAGCTTTGTCAGCTTTGTCGATTTTCAGGTCGATTACAATAATTCATTGTAATCGACCTAAATGTTTTAGACAATTTTTAATGAGGAGTAAGATTATGTAATATTTTATTATCGCAGCACGTTGGTTATGTGCTGTGAAAATATTGCGTGGCAAATTAATTACAATAGCGGATCAATTTAATAATAAAATTAGCCTATAGGCCTCCCCTAATAATTATAATACAATAATACTAATATAATCAAATGCATAAATTGAAAATGCTAAATCATCTTGATATTGATAGCAGATGCTTGTTATGTTTTAAGCATTTTATTTTGGAACTGAATATGTTTCTTAAATCACACAAACTTGTAAAGAACAAGAACAATAGAAAGCTTCTATCTCAATATTATGACCTATTCCCCAATTCCTCTTAATAACCTTATTATTTTACCTCTTCATTTACTATGTTTGTATGTTTTTTTTTCTTTTCTTTTCTTGTTTTTGTTCTTTGTTTTTGGTATGGTATTGTCTGTACAAATGCTTGATTGTATATTGATGGTTTTTCATGTTTGTACCAGTTGTTGTTTTCAATTAAAAAAAATAAAAATCCAGGGGGTTATCGCAGATATTACACGTATAGTGTGAGCAGTGAAGTCGCAGCTCGACGATCGGACCGTACAGTGTGAGCACATAAAACCTGAACTTGGCTTTGCATCACATGCGATTTACTCGTTGAGTGTGAGTAGGTACCTTGCTGAAATCGCACAGACATTGCACAGTGTATGCCCGCCTTAACAGGTCTTTGAGGGTGGACAGGTGTTCAAATACTTATTTGCAGCTGTATCATACAAATAAATAGTTAAAAAATCATGTATTGTGATTTCTGGATTTTTTATTTTTTTTAGATTATCTCACAGTGGACATACACCTACGATGACAATTTTAGACCCCTCCATGATTTTTAAGAGGGAAAAATTGCAAAATAGCAGGGTGTTCAAATACTTATTTTCCTCACTGTATTAGAATTGGCTGGTCACTATTCCACCAGCTGTATTACTTAAATCCAGCTTGTTCATTCTTTCATTTATTTTATCTTGAGACCACTTTTTTTTTTTTCAAAGTACACATCATGCATATGGCCATTCACATAGCGTCACGGTATTTATTGAAAAAGTATGCTAATCATTAGTTTATTTCAAGTGAGAAACTATGCTTACATAATTACCTATTCCTCCTGGGTTATTTACCTATTTAAGTTAATACAAATATTTGTAATATTAATAATATTTATAAAACATTTTAAATAGGATTATGGTTATACATGTATAACTAAAAATGCAAATAGTGAATTATTGTACAGGCCCATTCACACCAAGATATAAATATAAAACTAATAACTAATCTAATTTACACCATCAAAATCCGATATTACTTCCATATAAACCTCTGTGTCTTATAATTTATGTAAATTTAAACCAAAATTTGTAGTACATTTAAAACCCTACTTCCTCATCGAGTGATGGGCTTCAACCCAAACTGTTTGTCAAGCTCATTTATACTATTGGACCAAGCATTCTCTCTCTATATAAATTGCAGTCACAGACAAGTGGATGTGTTCCTTCGAGCCTTCATCATCAACATAAAAATCTGACAGCTTCAAGAGTGAAAGTATAACTTTCAGCTGACCTTTAAGTATGAGGCCCGACCAGATCAGTAGGAAGGATATGGTTTTGACTCTGAGAGTGGAGCAAGAGTGCATGGGTCACAAATATGAGATCATGAGAT